ATCAGATCAATCATATGTAGATGTGACATTTACCACCAACTGTAGATTCCCAGCTGTTGGAGGATAAAAGCCATGTTTGAACATTTGACGGGCAAACTCCAGAGCAACCCATGGGAATGGGCTTGCACGATCACGATGTAAAATACTTGAAGAAAGAGGCCAAAAACACTTGGGTTCATTAATATAATTAATTGGTCAGTAATAAAACAACATACCAGAGGTATTGACTTTATAAAAACTAAATTGCCCTCATCCTCAGAAGAAATAAACACTGCTGATAGAATGTCTGAGGTCTTAAACTAAGCGTTCACCCTCATTTGTATTGCATTATGGGTAATAAGGCACTTATTATTATTAATTTACATACTTTTAACTATATGCAATGATTGTTGTTTGTGATTACATGACATTCGGAGGGAATTTTTAAAAACAGATTATGAGAGATAAGTGGGATATTTAACAAATGGGATACTTGAAATTCTTCACAGAAATTATAGATGGTCTGAGGGTATAGAATCAGAAATGGATTATTCAGGAGGATACTTCTAAGACAATAGTACTCTAGAAAACCCTCTTTATCTGTGACACACATCTCAGGTACACAGCACAGCACACACAGTGAATTTTGATCCCTGTATTTAAACAGTGGGGGGGGGTCTGGGGGTCTTGCTCAAGGGCACCAGGAGGTGAACTGAGACATCTCTAAGAACCAGTCCACACTACCTGCTTTGGTCTGTTTGGGGACTTGAACCGGCTACCCTCCGGTTCCCAAGACAAGTTTCTTAGAAAAAGAAAACACAGCAAAAGTGTTATGACAGAAACAGGTCTGATACTCTACCAGTTCACACCTTACTACTAACAATACTTTGTATTGTGAAATTAGTCATACTAAGGTACACTTTTTGATTGGGAATGTGATTCAAAAGAGTCGAAAAGGCATTTTTTGTTTAGACTTAGCCTTATACAAGTTTTTTCAATAAATCAAGGACAAAAATAAGTGTGTACAACTCCTGAACACTTAGATATAGCTCCGAACGGTCCGCATGGAAAACATCCTAAGGAGCTTTGGATTTAACGTCCAATGAGAATACATTGTCCGAATGAATAGGTCCTCTTTCTACTTGATAAGAATATTTCTAAAGTTAAACACCATCCAGAATTATAATTTAACCGGACTCTACATCTTTCAGCCTTTGACACTGCTACCATAATTCAGGCACATAAACCTCACAACCTTTTATGACCTTTCTGAATGTATGTCCCCTTTTGCCAAAAGTCTGCATGTTTAACATGCCCTGCGGACTAGCATCTGTGAACTGCTTTGCATCACTCTTGGCCATTTGGATGTCATTAATAAGAACTGTGAGAGCCAGCACCTTATGCCTAAAAGCAATTGTGCTGAGGAAGACTTTATGATCCCTGTCACACCATGTGTGTCAGTTGCTAAAAAGGCCATTTCCAAGGAATAAAAGGAAAACATGCTTTATATTCAGTCTAGAACCTCTGTGCTGGCAAGAAACTTCAGTGCCCTGAAGCGAACAAATGTTCCATCGTCTGCCTTTCACAAACCTTTAGATCTTTGAATGTCAGCAATAACATTCTACAACCCAGGTCCCCAATCCAGTCTGAAGGCCTGGCCACCGTGCTCGGAGCAAATCTCAAGATGCCAAGGCATCTGTGATGCAGCCCAACACTAAAGTGCCAAAGCACAGAAGAAAAACACTGGGGCCGATCGATGGTCTGACTGGGCAAATATCAGGCCCGACCATGGGGCAGCGGCTCAAATGTCTGACAGACAGGAATCATTCTGCCATGACAAGCCAGGCATGCTAAATGCTGATGAGCTTGTTTGAAAAGGTCTCCCCACTTGGGATATTGAAAGTGTCAGCCATCAACAGCATGCTTTATTCAATAAAAGAAACCGATTTAGAGCAGTTTAAGCTGTTAGGCTGCTTCTGTTGAATGTGAGCTATATTTTCAGTTTACATATTTGTGTGGCTTTATATAGAAATACCCACCAACCCAACAGGACCTTCAAAGAAAGAAGAGAAATATTTTATTTACCAAATTTATGAGCATTCATTTCATTTTGGCTCAGTCTTAGAGTTTTTACTGCATTTTGCTATCATTTACTGCCGCGCTAGTTTCTCCCCTCTGCTTTGATCTCTGTGTTGCAAAGAGTGGTGGGCTTTGCGCACACACACACACACACACACACACACACACACACACACACACACACACACACACACACACACACACACACACACACACACACACACACACACACACACAGTTCAAAAGATTGGGAGTCTGCTAACTTGTTGCTCTTGCCACCAACGTAGCTAGAGTGGTAAAACAATGTTAGAATGTGAAAACCTGAACCTCAACAGTGTTTTCTGGCAGGAGATGCAGTGACATCCAAGTAAGAATAGAAAAGCTATGATGATCATATAAGATAGCATTTAAGTGCCAGTGCGCAAAGAAAGATATAAGAGAACATGACAGGTAATATCTGCGGCTCTTTTAAATGCCCAAACCATTTCACAATGGACAGATGGTTTAGTGAGTTTGATGGCTAAAAATGCCTTGATTTGCAAGATAATATTTGTGGTTGTCTCTCTTTGAATTTTGATGTGTAATATTATTAGGATTTCAATGTCAATGTGTTGAATAAGGTCAAAGTCATCCCTCTCCAGGATTTAATACCGTTTTATTGCAAGACACAGGAACAATTTTCCAACAAAATTAAGAACATGTTGCACGATGAGGTTAGTGGCCATAAGGGGAGGATAACTTCATCCCTGATGAACTGATACTCAAGCTCACACAGCTGTGTTTAAATAAAAACATGGCTTTCTTGCAAAAAAGAATGCAAGTTCATGTAAAAAAACAAAGAGCTAACAGCTGCAAACTCCACCTGCACTGAAGAACTGTCCAACCTACTAGTTACACCCAAAGATGTAATTCCTGTAAGATACATTTCAAATGAAACATATTTCCTGAGCCTCTAGCCATGACCATAGGATTTGGAATCAAATCTCATGCTGGATTTCATCGCTGTCGATGAAATGTGTTTTCTATTGGCAGAAATCCAAGATCCAGAACTCTTAAAATATAGATAGAGACACAACTGTATAATCATCCGCGTTCTCAGCCTGCCTTCTTGTAGAAAAGGTGGATATGAGAGTTGCATATCAATAGCTGAACCGGCAATAATGGCTGGCCCACATGAGACATTATAGACAGAAACTATATTGGTTAAAATAAACACATGTTCTGTACGCTCAGCTTATTGAGTTTATTCTGACCGTCTAACTTGAAATAGCAGTCTAACACAACAGCCTGCAGCAAATGTCTTTCTTCATGAAGTTATAAAGTTCAGTTTTTCTGAAACTATGTTAGAGAGTTGATGATTAAACCTTTCTGGGCCATTTTGAAGGATGTCTCTGGTGCTTTGTTACATTGTACTGAGGGGTGTTTCTAATACTGTATGTTGGTTCAAAATGACCATCATTTTAAATCAACACCTCTCTATACGAGTATGATTTAATTCAGGGCTTTGAGATTGCATTATGTTTTCGCTGCGTGTAGCTAATTAACTAAGTATCAAAAGTAGAAAAATGTGAATCAAATACCATTATATTCTTTTATCTCACTCAAGACTTATCAATGTATTTATGCTATTTTGTGAGAGAGTGTGTTTTTTATAGTATGTCCCATTATATGGAGCTATATCACTATAACTCAAGCCATATTTAGAGTAGAGAGGCAACACAGTAAATTGTAGCTAGTTTAGAAACAATGATCAGAAGAAGATATAATATTGCTGGAAAAGGAGACTAATGTCCCCTTTGATGGCTATGAGCTGACCTCTCAGACAGGCTAAGTGCCATTGGAGCAGAGCCACATTTAAACAGAGTCTAGGCAGATGGTAGAGGAGGCCAGACAGGACACACACACACACACACACACACACACACACACACACACACACACACACACACACACACACACACACACACACACACACACACACACACACACACTTCTTCAGCAGAAGCAGAGTGACAGAGACAACCTGTGGTGTGGCCACCTGTTTAGGCACGCTGCATAATTAAACCACATCCACAACTCTCGGCTCATCACAATGACTCACTTTCCCAGCATCCCTCAAGCAGCACTCCGTGACAGCTTTAGTTATACAGTGCTAAAAGGAGCTTATATTGTTCTCGTCCATATCCTCTCCAACTTTAAATCGCATCCTGCTGGATTACATTAGAAACACTTCCCAACCCTTCAGGCCATGAAAATAGAAGAAGTTGACTTGCATATTTTTATAAAACATTCAAACTTGTGTTGCCTGAAAATGCACAGTATGACTCAGATGTGCATGTGACCATCATAGAGTTTGATATTGATCCTTCATTTGTTTCCCAAGCCCACCTTACTGGTAGCAATGATTCATTCTATAATGCACACACACATTTCACATTGCTCCTTTCCTTTAAAGTGTTCTTAGCACACAGACAGTGGGCAATAACTCTTATTTAATGAACCTATTCCCATTTTTTTATATTCCAAACTAAGTCAGAAAAGAAACACTGAAAGCCAACTATCTATATCTGAGCTCTTTGAGAGTGTTATTGTTGCGTTGTGTGCTAACTTAATGTGCAGCCAGCTTTAAGAGAACATTAAAGCCCATGGGACAAGTACTGTATGTGAAGGGCTTAAGGCTGATAATGCTGGGTGTGTGTGAAGAAACAATTTGTTCCACTGTGATGCACAGGGATTCATTCTTATTTTCATAACCCATACATTTAGATAACAAAGGAATTAAGACATTTTTCACATTGGCATTCATGTAAAAGCATTTTATACTATTTGATCATATTTTTCCTGAAACGATTTGTTTTTGTAAAATGTATGAACAATGAATTGGTTATAGTTAATGAAATATTTACTTTCAAGATAATGTGATATCAAAAAATGCACAATACCTTGATGTAGTGCTTTAGCCTTGGGTAAATTCTTCTTTCTCCCAGGAGGACGGAGACAAAACTCTTGTGGGGGAACGAGGTAGTGACCACATGTGTGACTTCGGGAAAGGAAAATACATTAAAGCCAGATGTCTCATAGCTCTTTAGAAGATCCTCGTCTGCCTTGTTGTTGCCCTCGCTCAGAATACTGCCGACAGCAGAGCGGCACTGTGGTCCCGGCACCTAGAAACAATAATTAAAAAACAAATAAATAAAAGTTGGTAAGAGAGGAAATATCAACAAGATAGACTGATGTAGCTTATAAAGATTAGATTGAAAAATATGCACACACTTTTTTTTTACCAACGTTTTACTTTTCCCACCCAGAAAGACAACAGCAGCACTGACAGATAGATTATTGCTTGCAAGGAAAAAATGCTATCTTTAAAAATGTCTAAATGTTGGTAAAGTGTGCTGGTTTTTGTGCACAAAACACTTTCGACCCCATCCCAAATTTAGTTCAAAGCCTCCACTACATAACAAATGTATTTTTTTTAAATATATTTTGTCTGATTTGCAACATTTAAGAAGAAAATATCCTCATTAATTGGAGCTCTAATTGGAGCATTTGGCAGCGAAGCAATAATGTCTCCTTCCTCCATTCTGAGCACCCTTAAAAAAAGGAGAAAAGGGAGAGACTCTTTATAAATGAATACTCCTGGGATATCCAAGACTTTCTCCCCACTGTGCTGAGCAGAGCATGGCTGAAAGCTTATGTAATAAATAAACTGGAATGTTCCAATTTGTCCATAAACCTATCAATGCTACGCTTCTAGCATTGCCAGCGTGTCTGAAAATCCCTATTTTCTCCTCTGTTCCTCAACACGCAAGGTCAGTCATGGGTAGAAGTGGAGTTTCCCTGTGCACTGCAGAATAAGCTCATTTTTCACACAACCGCCATTCAAAGTTTCAAACAAACTTGAAAGATTGGTCTGTGTCAGCAGTTGAACATCTGATGACACTTTGAGTATTATTATAATCAGAATCAGAATACCTTTATTAGTCCCACAGAGGGGAAATGTACATTGTTACAGCAGAAAAATAACCACAGATATCTTAATGTTACATATGTTACATATGTGTATGCATTAAAAAAGTATTAAAGTTTAAAAAAAAGTTATAACATAATAAAAAATTTCACAATTTACAAAATACACATCCTGTAACAGTTCTTAGGATTTAGCAGCCTGGTATATATATATGTATGTGTGTATATGTGTAAATATGGTATACTTGTAGTAGACTGATTTTGTTTTTAAATATTTCGATAATTTCTGATTTTCAGAATCAGTTTTTAAAGATGAAAAAGGACTTGATGGATTGAGAGAATATGTTTGAACCGTTGGTTGGACCAACAAGCGATTAATGACATCCACAAGGAATCTAATAATTTGCTGCGGCTCTAATTCATGGTTTTAAGAAAAGGATCTTGCATTTGATCAATACATTAATGTATTGGTTACATGTATTAATGGCAGGTAAAATTCCGGGGTGGAAATGTCATCCTGCAGTATGCAGCAAGTATATATTTTGGGGCGATGGGCAGTCTTAGGCGGTGAACTCATTAGGATCCTATATCGGCCTTAGGGTAGGAGCTCTTCTTGAGCCTCTCAGTGCTGGCCAGGTGTATCCGGTGCCTCCATCCCAAACCTCAACAGGGAGATAAGGCTGTTATCCGGACGGTTGGGATCCTTAATGATTGTCCTTGACTTATTCTTACAGCGCTTGGTGTAAATACCCTCAAGGCAGGGAAGAACGCCTGTTCAGCAGAATTAATCTTTGCAGCGCTTGTGTGTTTCCAAGCCTATATTACATACACTGTGGTTTAATTTATAGATTTGTTCCCATATGTTGGCAAAATCATACATAACTTAAATGCAAAACGTATGAAAGGTAAACCACCCTTTTTTCGACCGGTAAGCCTCGCATCATAATGAAAGATTAGTAGTGATAATAATGAAGAACAAATTCAAAGAAAAATAAATGATCTTCATCAAATGTACTCGCTAGAGTAAGGTTTGCACTAAAATATATTTTTGCCAAACATTGTTTTAAGTACAAATTAAAATGAATATAAATATCCAGGCAATGGCTGCCTTTTTACTTATCTTATTTTAAGTACCAAAAGCACATTTGGAAAGCTTTACACATGAGGATATTTTTGACACTGTGGATTTTAGGGGCTCACAGTGGGGCGTCTCAGGCAACTGGATTCATTAATCATTACAGGGCTCCATGTAGGGAGCGCAGAACAATAAACTAGCACCAAAAGCACAAGCCTCTGTCCACAATCTTTGTTTGCTTCTCTGCACTCATCAAGTCACAAGCACACTTTCTTTTGAAGTTTCTTCAATACACTGACAGCTCATCTGAAGCAAAAAGTATCCGAAATCCTACTGAAGGAACAACAGAGTTGTGTCTCTGTTGAACATGGGCTGAAAGGAGTCGGGAAAGGGCAACAAAGTAAACAAAGGCAAAACTATCTTCACCAGCATACAAAGTATTTTCCGTCCACTCTCACATTCAGACAGGCTTATATTTTAAATGTTTTACCCTGACTTTATTAAAGGGCAAGTATCAGAGAGATTTTCCACTATTTCATCATTCACCACAAAGACTAACACATTTTTTAGAGGTACACATTTTGTGTCCGGCCCCTGCTTCAGCTGACATGCCCACAAGCTTTCATCATATTTTGACCAAAACATGGGTCCCTGAAGATTTGCAGACACATGTGTCATTTACCCACCATACCACCAGCTTTTTATTCAGACATCTCAAGGACCTAAAACCCTGACCCTGACCCCTTACTTGGAATATCAAGTTTGACAGAAAAACACATGATCCCCTCCGTTACCTCCCTCTGACGTTTGTCAAAGACGGACACAGAGGGGAAGGAGGAGAGGAGGGAAACAGGGTAGAGATGGAGTGGGAGCTCTGGGTCAGAAACCCCTCTGGCTTTGAAACTGACTAGCGGGTGAATGAGACGGGTGTTGTGAGCGGGGTGCATGAATATGTTAGCCATTTGAAGGAGCAGACAGAACTGCCTCAACACTGTATCCATGGCAACCATCCAAGGACCAACTGGAGTCCTTGTTGAGGTATTTTGTTTCTCTAGAGTAAGTGATTAAAGGAGGTAAAAGGGAAAAAAGCCAGAAAAGAGACCAGACACGCTGACACTTATCTTCTGCCAGCTGCACTTTTGAAAATCGTTCTCACTGCAAATATCAATGGACAGTGTCTCACGACGCCGAATACCAGTCCTCCTTTTTGAGAGCACCCTCTGGGGCTGGGGACACTGGGACTGAATGGCATCCTGAGGCTCGGACGCTAATGAGCTGAGATCATCACGCCAATTATTCTAACTTAGATCAGGACTTGGCTATGACTGTGCAGAGGATCAATAGGACCCACTGCTAGGCTAATTGCGAGCTTGGGAAAAAGAAGGATGAACATAACCAAAGTGTTTTGAAGCAGAGCTGAGTAGAGTCTATCACTGAACTCTAGTTACACTCCAGCAGGTTGTTGTGATACGGTTTAAGTAGTGCCACTTAAGTCCTTTCTGTTTAAAGGTAGCTCTGAAATGGCAGATATCAGCATTTTTCGAGATTGAGTGCAAATAATAACAGTTGGGTGACAATGAAATGATCATAGTGTAGTAGATTGAATACTTAAACCCCAAGTTAAACATACTTGGTTATACTATTGGTGCTTACACAATATGTCCTCCAAAAATATGGTAAGAACTATCATTGATAGTGGCCAAATTAACTGGGTTGATCCTTTCATTTAGCTAGCTTCTAATGTTGCTGCTAATGCACTCAGTAGCCCTGATTATTCGTTGAGTTTATAAAATAACTTTGAAAAAAAATATCCAACCAAATTCCATCAGACCAACACAGGATATTCAGTTTACAATGAGATAAAAAAAGAGAAAAACTCAATATCTTCATATGAAAGAAGCTCAAACCAACCAGGTATTATTGCATAATAAGTTAGTGTTATTATTCAGTGATCACATACCCATAAATATTTTCTTATTTATTATTTCCATTTCTTACAATATTCAAGATATTTATTCTCAGCTCTCCACTGAATGATTGAATAGAGGTGACAAAGAGGTCATAGTTTGTCTATGGGCATGGCAGCCAGCTAGTGGTCTTCTATATTCAATATAAGCTGTGGAAGACTTTTAAAGATCCCCCATTTCCACCCTTGTTGCTGAACTCCCAGACCCTCTACGGTGCATCAATCTAAAGCCCACTGCTGCTTAACCATTTCAATGTGCTACTCCTTGTCTCATTCCTTCTGTTTCGGCAGTGCCTGTTGAAAAAACAACCCACGCTGGACCTGCTTTAAGCAAAACGAGTAAGTTGTATCGCTCTTTGAGATGTGATCCTACTTCCTACATTCCCAATCGTTCTCTGTGTGAACTCCATCCATCTCAAAATCTCAGTGTCTATAAGCAGCAGGAAATATTATCTGCTGGATCTGTTTTTCTGATACATAATACGGCTCAATCTCTGGGGTTTCCAAACTCACGCAGTGCTAGTTCGCAAATTTTAAAGGAGCATTGTTTTGGCAGTAAAGGAGACCACAAAAGTGTCAGTCATATTAAAGAAAAGTGTTTTGACTCTTGATCTTTATGGAACTCCAAAAGAGCCCATATTAAATACATAGTATTAACCCCAAGCTAACAAGACAGTTGAACTGACTGTCAGAAGATGCATCCGTAATAACATTACTTGCCTAGACAATAGTTTTATTAAGTTATTGGTGGAATATATGCAATCATTTAAAAAATAACTCTTCACAACTGTAGTTGTATAGTGTATTAGCTCATTTGACTAAGACTCTCTACTGATGAATAGATAGCATTAAAGGATTTCAGGCCAGAAGAAATAATCTAATCTCATTCAACTGCCAAATCAGCTAATTCAAACTGTAAACAAAGAAATACTGTAGTAGGTTACTGTGAAAAGAAAATCAATATCATTCAAATCAATGTTGTAGTTTTTGTAGTGTTGATTTATTGTGGTTATTATTACTGTTATTATTACTGTTAGCAGATGACCATAGTGTTTTGATCTGATTCAAAAATGTTTGCATTTGTTGAAATATAAGTCTTTGTTGTGTGATGTGTTGTGTTTTAGAGTCCCATATAGACCTCGGGTTCAGCTCTGATTTAAAAAAGAACATGGATAATATTGTATGACATATGTGACACTAATAAATCCACAAATCACACCACACCCTGTCCAGATGTGTATTGTTCAAGGGGAACAAATAAAATATATTTGGTGCCTAAAGTCTCATTCGAAAATGCCAAGAGAAGGGAAAAAATACAGGATATCAGAACTAAATGGGATGCCACTAGACGGAATATTAATTGTGAAAATTAATCACTTTGATTGGGTTAATAAAGTTATTTAAAACGAATGTTATCTGAGAGGTTATATATTAATCTCTGAACACTAAACGTGTTTAATAGAATGGCGTTGGCCCCATCTAGTGGTCATCTACACTACACAACTTATTTAACAGTAAAATCCACCTTTATTAAAGCGAAAGTATTCACCAAAAATGCAAAAAAACACATGCAAAATAAACTGCTGATCTACCAAGTGTTGTAAAAGGTTTAGTGCAAGATTACCTTTTTAGGATCATCGTAAAATACTCCGATACATGAAAGCTTTGGTCCAATACTACGAGACTCCTTGAAAAGTTGTCTGCAGTCTTTGTAAGGTCCTTCTTTGAATTTATAAGCAAATGTAATCTTCTTCACGGGAGGAGAGCCAGTTTGTATAGGGATGTCTGAGAGGAGTCTCGAGCACCAAAGGTAACCAACTACTGTTATCAGACTTATCAACACGCTGATGAGCACACACACACCAACAAAGTCTGGCATAATAGCTTAGTAAACGGCGGATAACGTTGTTTAACTTCTTCTGAACCCTTAACACGTGTGTTGCAATTTCCCACGACCGTCTTACATCTTTAAGAACGTTTTTGGTCGTTTTCAGTTGGCAATTTTGTCCTTGAATGAAATAAAAAAGATTACACATTGTTCATGACTTCCTGGAAAGTACCATCTACGCCGACAAAAGGGGGGGATTTTGTTAAAAAGAAACTTTTAGAATTCTTGAAAGGAGAACATGCCCTCGTCGACAAAATGTTTATAATTTAGATTTCGATGGTAATATATGCATGTAAAGTAAATATCCGTATAGGTCATTTGATAAAGGTTTAACAATTGCCACATGTTATAACGGGTAACCTACATTATTGTGATGCCCATTTCGCCAATGTTGGTAAACGATATAAGGAAGACGAAGTCAGTAGAATCCAATGTGTGAAGTGTGTTATCAGAAACACACGAAGTTGGCTATTTAGGAGCTCTGGTTTAACTGATTTACCATATTTGGGTAATAATTCATGTTAAACTGGGCGGCATGATGATGGTAACCTTGATGGCGTTCTGAGTTTAGAATTGCAATTATGATCTCTCACAACGTTTGCGATAGAATCGTCTGGGTATTGAAAACAACACAAAGAACATTTGTAATAAATTAGAAAAAAATCAGCATTGAGAGTAGTTTGAAATGCAACCTGTCCCGCCCATAAAAAAAATTAGGGTTGGACTTAAAAGGAACTTGGACCGCCCAGCTCAGATAAACTGAACGTTTCTTTCTCCTTAAATCTACTTGATTTTGTAATTCATCCGGAATTTGTGAGAATGGCAGGCAATGTGAAAAGGTTTTACGACCTGACAGCTAAGATGCTGTCTGGAAAAAGCTTTAGTTTTTCTGCCCTGAAGGACAAAGTTGTTCTCATTGAGAATGTGGCGTCTCTTTGAGGAACAACAACCAGGGACTACACTCAGATGAACGAGCTCAACAGGCGGTACTCTGCAAAGGGACTTGTTATTCTGGGTGTGCCCTGTAATCAGTTTGGACATCAGGTAGGTTGATATAGGCTACTTTTTACACATCGTAGGATTTTAAATATTTTGAACACAGTGTCCCTCAAGGACATAACATAGATAAATGAAGCCTATTTGTATATCATAGACATCAGAACATAGCACAAAAGGAAACATGTAGGCTACATTGTAGTAACTTAATCAGTGAATGTGTGTGCATGTTTGGGTTAGGTGTTCAGATGTGTTATGTGTTATGTGTTGTTATTACTAATGTATTGCTGTAGTTGTGTTGTAAAACCCAATTATACCTACTTTCTACTGTTGGGTAGTAGTAGCCCACTCTATAATGGTCCCTTATATTGGATTATTAGGTGATACTTTTTAATGTTGAACCTGTACAAAATAACCACTTACTTCAGCTGTCAGATAGATAGATAGATAGATAGATAGATAGATAGATAGATAGATAGATAGATAGATAGATAGATAGATAGATAGATAATGTAATGGTCACACATGCAGAGCACAGAACAAATGTGTTTTCTGCTTTTAACCCATCCTAGTACTAGGAGCAGTGGGCAGATATTTCACAGTGCCCATGCGAGTAATGGGAGTGGGGGGAGGGAGGTGTCTGGTGCCTTGCTCAAGGGCACACCGGCAGGGCCCAGGAGGTGAACTGGGACCTCTCCAAGTAGCAGTCCACACTCAGGTCTGTTCGGGGACTTGAAGCGGCGACCCTATAGCTCCCCGTAAAGAGCCAAAGACAGCTTAATGTTAACTAAGAAAAAAATATATATATATATACAGCATAGTAGGCTATAAGTATAAAGCAGTATACGATAACATAAAAACTTCTGTATGCTTTCATCAACCCGATTGCATTATGTCCATACAATATTAATGTAATGTTTCTATCTCTTTTATAACAGGAGAACTGCAAGAATGATGAAATTCTAAGGTCTCTGAAGTATATCCGTCCAGGCGATGGATTTGAACCTAATTTCCAGCTCCTTGAAAAGGTGGATGTGAATGGAAAGGATGCCCATCCCTTGTTTGTATATCTGAAGGAAAAGCTTCCATTTCCCTGTGATGATGCCATGGCCCTTATGACCGACCCAAAGTTAATAATTTGGAGTCCTGTTAGTAGGAATGACGTCTCCTGGAACTTTGAGAAGTTCCTGGTTGGCCCTGATGGAGAGCCTCACAAGCGTTACGGCAGAAATTTCCTTACCATTGACATTGAGACAGATATTAAAAAGCTACTTAAGAGGGTCAATTAAAGTTTGTTACAACTCACAGACCAGCCTGGTCAAAAAGATTAATCAGTACACATCTGTTTGTTTTGGGTATTTCATCATGTTTTTCCACCTTCCTAGTTGAAGACAATTGTAATCGCATGCACCCCTAAATGTGTGGTACTGTGCAGTGCACTATGGTAGTTCAGCCTCTTTACTCAATGAAGACACTCTTTTAAACAAGTTTTGTGGGGAGTTTCTGATGAACATGTAAAATACTGATTGCCTGACTGTATAACTCACATGACCATTATCTTCATTGGGTTGTATTAAAAAAAAATGTAATGCCATTTCTGTATAGGCCTACTGTATGCAGAGCTGCAAAATAAAAATATGGTGGCCACAATAACAAAGGTGAAAAGTAACTTAATACATTTACTCAACTGTACTGTATTTAATAAAATGCAATTTTGAGGTAACATACTTCAGTTTAACCTGAGCATTTTCATAATGTATTGGTACACTATAGGCTACTCCACTACCAAGGGGCACAGGCAGCAGAGCTCCTATAACTTGTGTTGCATAACTTTAGAAAAAAGCTAATTATTTATCAGAGCAATAAAGTGATAAATGACAGCATCCATTACTATAATCCAATAATATAATATTCAGCCAATAACTATGGGCTTTACAATGAGTAGCCTACATCATTTGAATAAGGCAAAATGTGTTATTTAAAAGTAGTCTGTGATTAGTAATAATTACTTCCCCAATATTGAAAACAGAAACAGCGGCACTAGTCTCTGCTGTTCTTCCTGGTTGAAGGCAGGGGGCTATCCTTGATTGAACGCTGCGCTATTAAACCTCAACTCCTCCAAAATGGCTGGCCAGGAAGATCCAGTCCAGAGAGAGATTCACCAAGATTGGGCGAATCGAGAGTACATAGAAGTGATAACGAGCAGCATAAAAAAAATCGCCGACTTCCTTAACTCATTTGGTAAGCTTTTTAATAGCGCTAATGTGGATACCGTGTGTAATCATCTAACGCGGATGTGGATGAACAGCTAGCTACTTCTGCTAACATTAGCTCAGCTGTTGCTAGCATTGATGTTGATGCTTTCAGTGGCCACTCCCAGTTAGCTTTATCGTTAGCTGAGAGCTGGTTATTGTTCCCTCTTATACATATAATAACTGCTTGGTGGCGAGTATTGGGCAGCTAACATAACAATTGCAAAAGACTATGTTGAAATAGTTGAATTAACGTGGATACAGGGCAGTGAAGCCAATGCAAACGCTGCTCGGCTGCGTTATACCAGCAGAAGCATAACAATCCAGTAACAGTGACACTATTAATTCATGTCAATTTATCAATGCTAACGTTAAATGTGTGATTGGTGATCGTTACATGCTAATTACAATGTTTCCTCTTCAGATATGTCGTGTCGATCACGATTGGCCACCCTCAATGAGAAGCTCACAGCGTTGGAAAGGAGGATTGAATACATTGAGGCGAGAGTAAGTATACTGCAATGCAATTTAAAAATGTCAATGCATTTTCTATAATATTTCAAATGATATAACCATTACATCATGTTTTATGTGTCGTTACAGGTGACGAAAGGAGAGACCTTGACCTAGACATCATCATGGGAGTGCATAACATCCATGAGCTACCTGACCACCCCCCTCCCTGAATTCTTTTGAATAAGTGTGATGGATTCCACCCTTACTTTTTTTGAAACCTTGTGGACCATTTTTATATTATATGGTTTTGTGTTTTTTTTCTTCTCAAGAACATATGGGTCTGTCTTGGATTTCGGTGACTCAATCATCATCATTGTTACAAAACAAAAATGAGCTCCATATGTATTGTTAACAAATATTTTGGAGCTCAATTATGGATATGTTGTCAGTGTGACAACGTGTGTTGTATACAGTGTCATTACCACATTTAAGATTTATGAAAGGGGATATCCTTGTGTGCCAAGAACAATAAATTCTCTAGTCATCTTAATTGAGGACCTGCTTGTACAGTGAACTGTGTGGTGATGTATCAGGTTTTAAATACTGTAATAAATGATAAAAAATGTCTTTGTTTCATGTTGTATTTTACCTCAGTAGGTTAAAAAATCAGTGACCAGGTACGTTGACACATTGAAAGACATTTAAATATCAGTAGCTCATGATATAATCAAACAGACAAGACAATAGCAATATTCAAAATAAAGACAAACAACTAAATATACACAAATGTACAGTGCAAGAGCTGGAAAGCAAACAAAACAAATGGAATCAAATTCTTATTGAAACTCCAGGATTAGTGGGATGCAGTGAAATAGTACACAGCACTGGCATCAATGATGTAATAAAACGTTTAATAATATATTTTGTTTTAAAGAACAATACATTAGTATAGTTTTGTGAATGTGAAGACAAACAAGGAATGAAATAGCTTCACTTTCACCAGTAATTTGGATTTAGGAGTCCTATTCTGCAGGTCAGTTTATTGCAATTAACTTTACAATGCAATCCAGTGAACGTATTAAACAGAATTGTTGCACATTTTACAGGATCATATGATAACAAAAACAATATTTAGCAAAAATGGCAAACTGAAACACTGTAAACCCATTAAAATGGCCGAAAACAAGATATACGTGTGTATTTACCCTTAGTTTTGTCTGGTAGGCAGTACTTTTGTTTTAGTTTAGGCAGGCACACAGCTTTAACAACTTGGCGCTCCAGCCCCAACTGTTTATGTTCTGTAATTTGAATCCTTAACTTAACCAGTCAACATTGTGGACGGCAAAAAAAGTTAAGGCACAAGCGTAATGAGACTGAGAGCATATATTTGAACCAAAAGGACTAAGTGCTGCCTGTATGCCAAACACGGGGCGAAATATTCCTACTTCCCATAATGCACCGGGTAAAACACCAATGCATCTTGGGACAAAGAAGGTGCAGTCGTAGTGTTGTGCTTAGTCCTTGAACGTGAAATGATTTTTACCCACGATTTTTCAATTACATTTTTGATAAATTACTAGCGGGTAAAAACATTATTAGCAAACTGCACTGGTGAGTCATTGCACTTTCACACAGGAAACTGAAACATTTATATGGCTTCTCGCTAAAGTAACGTGTGTTTGCTGACGTTAGGCCTGATCCATGTTATGGTCTATTAGCAGTTGGTTGTGCTCATAGTTCATTCAGCCAATTCGACTTTAGTGGAACCGTTTTTAGGCATGAGTATTCACTCAAAACACAGCATTTGAAATCAAAAGTCTTGGCTTGCTTTCTTTCTAGAGTCGTGCGGGTGCTTTTGGGAGCAATGGGAGCAGATAAAAGGTGAGTAGTTGTTAGTCACGTTAAGCCCTGTCGCTGTCGCCCATAGTAGGTATGGCTAATTAAAATGGCAGTGTTCATTTTTAATTTAAGTTTAAATGCCTCTTCTAAAGAAAGCGAACGTTAAACGGCACCAAGAACGCATGCATTAACACTTGTCATACGTACGTTTAACAGTTAACTTGTAAAGTTATCTTTGTAGGGGAGAAACTAACAACAAGTAATACATACTGGATTTGATCAAATACAAATGTGATTTAAAAATAAAATATGATACTTCATCAAATGTTTTCATAAATGTAAAGCTGATTTGATGAAAACAGTTGGTATGTCAAAACACCGCCATGTGTCTTACTTTCTTCATTCCACACACCCAGCAAAAACTTACATTTATCATTTAAAGAGTAAGAAAGTGTCCTCTAGGGTGGGGGTAACCAACACAATGTAAGTTGCAAATATCCAAAATAATTCATAATGTGTGGTTTTTCTGTAAAGAGTTTTTGTGTACCAGAAGACTACACGTAAAGTTTGTAAATCATAGACTGATGTAAATGTAAAGGCAAACATTCTACACATAAGCACTCCAACAAACACTGTAAATGTTGCACCATTTAATGGAAGTTTTTGACATTTTCCGAACAAAAAGGGGAATTAATCAAGGTTCATTCAATGTGTAATATCACAATTTAAGAACACATTTTGGTGAGTTTTTGATACAAAAGTAGTTGTTTAAATCATATTCTAAGACACATTGTACTATTGCAGGCTAGTTTTACTGATGTGTTGCCATGCTTTTCAATGTCCTCCTTAATAGACTAAGTCGAACAGAGCGTAGCGGTAGATATGGCTCTGATGCACCCCGGGATGATCCAGAATGGCGCGATAGACGAGAGAGGGACCAAGAGCGTGATCACAACCAGCGCCGCTGGGGTGAAGAGAGACGCAGTGATCGGTTTGAAGGAGATCGTCGACCAACAAGAGACAGTCCAGAGGTAGTTATTCTATAGTTCTCTAATTATTGGTAGTATAATGTATGAGTAAAAATACTGTCAACAGAACAGGTTCACAATTAACTGATGCACGGATCTGTTTGTTCTAAAGCAAAGAGAAAGGAAACGACGTAACAGTGATAGATCAGAAGATGGGTATCACTCTGATGGAGACTTCCCAGAGGATTACAGAAGGGAGCCTGGGGACGATAAGAAGAGCAAGACTATCATGCTCTGGGGTCTCGCTCCTCATATCACTCAAGACGATGTAAGTTTGTAGCTTTCTTTTGCAGATATGCAACCTCTTCAGTGTTTTTCCTTTGGTTAAATCTGTGTGCACTACTCATTCTGTTGGAAGTACTGCATTATTTAAGGGGCTTAGGTTTCAAATCATAATATTAACATACTGTCTCGTTCTTTTTCAGATTTGTTTTTCCATAGACCAACTGGAGGGACCACAGCCAGTGGATGTCAGGCTGATGAAAAAGAAAACAGGTGAGACCTTGAAATATGACGGACCTCAGCCTCCCCCCAGTCTTTGACCATAGGACAAATCTGCTTCCATTCAGACCCATTTTCCCATAGCAGCTAGCAGAGAATAGTATCAAGGATTTAAGATGTTTCTATAAGATTTATCATTTCAGTTTACTAAGGAACTTTAAAAGGTAAGTATGAGCAAGAAAAACTGTTTAAACAGAAACGTAATTGGCAGACACACTTTGTCGCTAAGTGTGTTTAAAACAACGATATTCAACAGGAAATGTTGCTATGGTAAAACTCTTAAAGAGTGGCCTTACCTAACAGTGCCTGGGTCATGAAGCAGTTTGTGGAAGAGTTTGAATAATATGCCCATGGACTCTTAACTAACACGCCTCCCGTCTATATTTGAATGCTGTCTCTAGGTATAAGCCGTGGTTTCGCCTTCGTGGACTTTTATCACTTGCAAGATGCTACACGATGGATGGAGACCAATCAGGTTGCTTCACAATCGCCAAGTCTAGTTTTTAATCTTGGGGATCTGGAAAAAAATAACCCAAAAGGCAACCTAAGTGCATTGAATTAGTGGTGTAGAAATTACAGATCTTCTTGAAAAAAAGTCATGGATTGTATGCCAGAAAGCATAAATATGTGATTTTTCTACATTATTAGAGATACTTAAATACATGATTTACAACTTAATGTTATACATTTTATTTTGTTAATTGTCATAGTATTAGCAAAGCTAACTCGTATTGAGAGGTTCTCTCCTGTATGTGCATTCAAGATCCTTACTTGGTGATAGTCATTATCAGTGATATTTCTGAGTTGGATGTAAGCTCAGCCTATTATTTTTTAGCCTAAAACTCAGTAGATGAGGATATTTTTAGCTTCCATTTTTCCTTTTTTCTTCTTAAAAGCACTCAAAAATGTCTGTTAGGGTCACATTGTACACTCTGCTCCAGCTCAGCCTGGGCACTCGGGTCCCAAACACCTTAAACCCTCTACACATCACGCTCACATATACATCATGTGCCTGTCTTGTCTTTTACACAAAGGATATCTGTTGGGGGTCCCTCTCCCCCTTCTCTCCCTTCCAACACTGCTTGCTCTATTGATAAGATTATTCCCAAGAATGGTTGACTGACTTTTGTTGTCTTCTTTCAGAAACGTCTGACAATCAAGGGGAAAAGCGTGGACATGCACTACAGTCACCCCAGAAACAAGTATGAAGACTGGCTCTGCAACACTGTAAGTTTATAATATATCTTGGTTTCATGGCTACATTATTCGAACCATGCTACTACAGAACACTTCACACACTGACACACATTCGTATAAGTATATATGCTAGGCCCATAAGTTACAATTGTTGCAGTCCTGTTAGCTTACTTTGTGGTACACCTACATTTGAATAAGCGGTAACGGTTAGGTTGTGTCTCAGGTAAGTATGGTATGCTGCACCAATATAGTTGCCTGTTTTCTGAGGCAGCTCTGTTCAGGGCGTTAGTAGGTGTATAATAAAAATGATGTGAACGGTTACTTGCAGTGTGGCCTGTACAATTTCCGGAGGAGGCTGAAGTGCTTCAGGTGTGGAGCAACCAAAGCCGGTAAGTAGTTAAATCAACAAGAGGCCAAAGACTGCAGACATCCGCGCAGCCTGAGGCAACAGTGCTGGGATGCAAAGCAAAGTTTGTGTTTTTGGTGTTAGGCCTAGTAAACCAAATGATATGGATGTAGGTTAAGTGCATATAGGAAACAGCATGCCTTATTTCCTTGCTACCTGACAATAATACAAAATTGGAACAAAATACTTAATAGAGTTCACGGAAAAGGCTCTATATTTTAAACACTACCTTAAGGATAGGGACACTTTTTGACAAAACACTTTAAACCCAATTTCCAGTTTCTTGATAACACATTCCGGACCGCTATGTTAATGCATTATTTCTCTTCTGTGATTTTCTCAACAGACAGTGAAAATGGCAATAACACTGGAGCGACAGAAACTCAGCCCGGCGGAGATTTCTACGGCGACAGTAAGGACTCTTTTATAGAGGAAACATCCTGCTTGTTTAGAAACAAAAAATATTGATAACCTTTTTTATAGGGTTTTTCTTAAATAGTCTTTTTTTTTTTCCTATACAGCAATCATCCTGAGAAATATAGCTCCTCTGGCCACCGTAGAAGCCATCTTGACGGCCCTGGCACCATATGCTAATCTTTCATCAAACAACATCCGCCTCATAAAGGACAAGCAGACAGGCCAGAACAGAGGCTT